CATTATTAAAAAGGATATTTTGATTAATGAGAAGGGTTTTATAAAATATTGTAGATGCTTTTAATAATTATTAGTGTTTTAATTAAATTATAAATATTTGTTAAGATTGTTTTGTATAATATTTATTAGAGAAATATGTATTTTTGAGATATTTTGTTATAATAAGTATTTGGAGAAAAATAAGTGTTTTTATTATAATTGTTTATATATTTTATTTTAATTATACATTCAATAAAAGAGTACGAGCAGTGTCCACAATATGACTATGTTTTCGCTCTGCTACACCATTTTGTTGAGGTGTATGAGGGCAACTAGATTGATGTAGAATGCCATGGGAAGCCATAAATGATTTGAAGCAATCTGAAAAATATTCTTTAGCATTATCACTTCGTAAAATCCGAATTACTTTGCCAAATTGAGTTTTGATCTCCGAATAGAAACTTAGGAAAATATTGAATAACTCAGAACGATTTTTCATTAAAAATATCCAAGTACATCTAGAAAAATCATCAATAAAGGTGACGTAATACCTATGTCCTAAAAGAGAAGGAACGCGACTAGGACCCCAAACATCAGAATGAATAACATCAAAAGGAGACATAGCTCGACTATTAATACTATTAGGAAAAGAAGCTCTAACATGCTTCCCTAATTGACACGACTCACACTCTAAGGACTCCAACCGTGAGAGATGAGGTACCATTTTCTTTAATTTATTCAAGCTTGGATGACCCAGGCGACGATGAATTAAACCAGGAGACTCAATAGATGCACATATGGTAGAGGTAGAAGGCTGAAGGTAGTAGAGACCATGTGATTCAGATCCGGCTCCAATCGTCTGTCCCGTACTCCGGTCCTGTATCAAGAAAGAATCAGAAGTGAAGGTTATGACACAGTTTAGTGACCGAGTCAACTTACTTATAGAAATCAAATTAAAGGGACATCCAGGAACTAGTAAAACAGATTTTAATGGTAGTGATGGGAGAGGTGATATTTGACCAATACCAGTGGCTTGGACTTTTGACCCATCTGCAAGAGTGATATGGTGTGGAGTTCTAGGTGATGATAGGTTAGGGAAAAGGGAGACATTACCAGTTAGGTGATCAGAAGCACCGGAGTCCAAAACCCAAGGTCCAATAGACGTAGAATGAGAGAGACAGACTGTAGAATTACCAGTATGAGCAACAGTGATGGAAGAAGAGGCCTGTTTAGTTGCCTTGAATTGAAGATACTCTTGGTAATCATCGGTAGATAATGTGATTGGATGATTGCCCTCCGGTTCAATCTTGAGCTCTGGAGCTGAAGTTGGAGATTGAGCCACATTAGCTGTCTTGCTTGGAAAGCCATGCAAGGAATAACACCTATCTCGTGTATGTCCATCTCTCTGACAGTAGGTACAATGGAGGTTTCCTCTACCCCCTTTACCGCGACCACGACCTCGACCACGCCCTCGACTTCCACGGTCAGCTGTGCTAGAGATAAAAGCAGAGGACTCAGATTCTGTGTGAGGATCTGCCTCTGGTGAAGGGACCCGAATCAATCGATCTATGAGTTCTTCTACTGTAGGAATGACAGGATTTGTCAAGATTTGATCTCGAACAGATCCGTAATCTTTGTGGAGTCCTTGAAGGATAAACACCATGAACATATTATCAAGTTTGTTTATTATTTGTTGAGGATCATCACTAACCAACATTAGCTTGAGCTCATCAATAGTGGATTGAGCACGATTCAAATACGTTGGCAAATCATTATCAACCATACGAAGAGTTGCCAGACCATGAACAGACTCGTATATTCTTTGGATATCATTGGCATAGACATTTCGAGCCTTCTTCCAAATATCATAGCATGTCTTGTACGGACGAAAATGCACCATTAATTTAGGCTCAATGGACTGCCACAATCGAGATACAATTTGATAATCTGCCCGTTGCCATTCATTTCTCACCTCTTTATCAACTAAAAAGAGAGTTATGATTAAAATGTTTTACTAAGGGTTAAACATGAGTCAAAAAGTTTTTAAAAGAAAAGTTTTAAGAGTGGGGAGTCACTTTATGTTTTACACTTTGCAATTCCTCTTTATGTTTCATACTCTAAAGAATGGGGAGAAGAACTAGAGATCGTTGGAGATCACTCTAGAGATTCACGCTCTTTGTCTAACCTTCATCGAGGTAAGGGAGAATGAACAGTCTTGCTCTGAGGTGGGATGTATGTTGGGTAGTGGGATTGACCTCAATCCTGTCTTTGTTGTTTGTTTTGTATGTGAGAGAATTTCCCAAAAAAATGTTTCTTCATCTTCTTTGTGATTCTTCAGTGTTCTATTTTATGTTATTGTTATGTATATGTATTCAATTTGATATTTGATTTGATAATTGGAAATCTTGGGTTGCCCGTGGATGCTTGTGGGAACCCTAAGAGAATGCATTTGGTGTATGTATAAGGAGACGTTATGAAAAATTAGAATTTATGTAATTGATGGTTTAATAGAGTGATTTTAGGCTTTTAATCTATGATTTTATCTATTGATGATCAATTTTGATAGATTTTGATGATAGGATGAGTTACGGGATACAAGAACTGAAATTTGCATATGTCAGATTTCATCACGGGTGTGGTTGGAGTGTCACAATGGTGACTAGTCAATCACGACCATGACCAATGATTCACAGTTGTGACGCATTCGAAATTTGGCCTCTCTTTGGTTTTCGCTAAGCTAATCACGAGTGTGATAGGTGAGTCGTGGGCATATCCTACATCACAATTTTGATCTGTGAGTCACAACTTAAGTTGATGCTCTCTTTTCTATTTTTTTTTTCTTTTATTTTCTTCTTTTTATCACCTCTATTGCTTAAGATGAATTATACTTATGAGTTTGAGATAATTTGAGGATGATTAGCTTGAGGATACAATTTAGTAAGTATAAAGACGTAATTGAGTTAATGTTCAAAAGATATAAAGGTGAAGAATATCCTTATAATGATTATAATTGGAATGCTTTAGTAGTGTAGTTTAGGACTATGATTCAGTGTTAGTATTGAATGTTTTTATCCTTTAGGTGTTTGATCTCATGAATATTTTGAGGTACTTATATTAGTGCTTATGAAAGAGAAATCATGAGAAAAGACAATTGGGAATAAGTTATGATATGAATCAATTGTTAACAACTTGAGGTGTTTTGGTGATAGCAATGCCTAAGGACTTAATGTGTGACATTGATAAGGCTATTAGACTAGTTAAGTTATTAATTTAAATGCTTAATGGTGTTGATATCTTAAGTGACTATGTTGAGATGTTAACATATGACTACATGATCTCATAATGATTCTATCTAGAGGTGCATTGGATGATGTTGTGTAATCATTATACTAATTAATGTTAACAACTAGTTGTAGTATGTGAGTATAGTATTGATACGAATGTGAGCTATGTATGAATTGACTAATGGGAACTCCTTGAGACTTCATAACGTGTGTGATGTGAATCACATCGGGTGCAAACCATCCTGAGAGTTATGATTGCTCTCTGGAGGAGTTATGCTAGGCACAGATGATTCTCGTAGGGCGTCATTTCGTATATGACACTTGTTCTTATATTTGATTTGAAATGGATTGTTTGAGTAATTCTAATGTTTGATCAGTGTGAAATAAACATGGATGTTTTTAATACACTGATTGAATAAGATACTTGACTCATGTATAGGAAACTGTATGTATGGTACATCGTGTATGGAAAATCATTCAATATGTGTAGTGATTCATGATATGATAGAATATGTGTGACATGCATCATATGCATGCAAATCGACAAATCGATGAATTGTTATATATGCACTAAGCATATCTTGTTATTGGCACCACATGCATGGAAATCGAGAGTTAGTGTCTATTGCATCTCATATTTGTGGCTAAATTATATCTTGAGATTAATGATTTACGTATTGTGAATGATTTATTGTGTTTGATAGTGTTAATTATATGTTAATACCATTGTTATTGTTATAAAATATGTATTGACTGTGTTTGGTTATCCATCTCTTGTTTTATGCGATGAGCTAGAGTGAGATGTTTCTCACTCCCATTATTTCTATGTTGTTCTTTATGTATGTTGTTGTAGGTGAGGCTCATTAGGATGTTAATGATGCTAGTGATGAGGCTTAGTCTTTGTGTAGGAGTGCTCTCATAGGATATGTGACATTGGGGCATAATTTTAGGATTATTCATTTTATTATACTTCTAGTATAGAATGTTGGGTTATTTTTTTATTTTTTTTTGAAAAAGTGGATGTGCTATAGCATCACTATGCGAAGGGGGGGTCCTAACTATGTTAGCACCCCGCAGCGCATCAATCATGTGCTCCACATCAAGAAAGGCTAAAATTAAAAGGAAAGATAAAGGTACAAGGTGGGGGGACCAAACCAAAATCCACCAAAAAAGAAATAGTAATGCTAACAATGCCAACCAAGTGGCATAGTCTAAAACCATATCAGTCAAAACTATATACAATCAACTTGAACCCCCTAAATCTCTAAAAACATTTTAAGAGAATTTAGAGGATTTGGCAGCCTTTGACTTCGCAACCTTTGATTGAGATCTTAGCTTATAGGCGGTATATTTCCTTTGTGCTTCTACAAGTTCATTAACCCTCCATCTCTTACGAGCATTGTGGCTGTAGCAAGGCTTATATGGACTGAACGGGGGTGTTTCATCACTTGAGTCATCCTCTGAATCATTGGTCCATAGCATAACTTTGGTCATTGGACAAGTCCTCAAGTGGTGGCATGCCTTAAAGAGACAGATCATCTGCATCACAGGCCACGACTGCTAAATGAGCAGCTACATCAACACCACCAATTGCAGTCCCCATGTCTGTCCCTGGCAGATCATTCAAACCTGGTTGAGTTGATATAGTTTTGGGATTAGAATCAGCTGCTACATTAGCTGCTACATCCACCTTACAAGCCTCAACTGCTGACTGAGCTGCTGCACCATCAGCAATGATCATAGTTGTTGCAGCTGCTGCATTCTCCAAGTGCAGGACTGAACCCAATCAGTAGTTGGATCATCTAGGTTGTTGCCATCACCGACTGGATTGAGGCCAACACTAGCTTTACGAAGTTTCTCTAAATTGATTGTCTTAATTACTTGCTCATCTGCCATTTCCATCAAGGCATTGTCCAGTTGCACCATAGCACCAGCTACAGAAGGCTGAACCAGACCGACAGATACATCAGCCACGCCACCAGCCAACTGATTCATTTTTGAATTGATTCAACTGGTTCACCTACGTGCTGCCCAACATTTGAGATGTCAACACCATGTGCACTTTCCTCAACTGCTGCACCAGCATTTGAGACAGAAGCAGCTGTTGCACCAACATTTGAGAATGTTGGGTTATTTAGTTGTGTTATTTTTGAAAGTTTTATCGGAGAATTTGTTATGAGGAGTTTGTTGTGTGGTATCCTTTACCAACCTTGTTTTTATTCAGATTTGATATTTATGCATGAAGTTAGTTATTTGGCTTAAATTAATTGTGTTTTATAGTTAATATACATGTAGGGTAAAGGGTGTCACAAAGGGCCTTGTGTCTCTCGGGCTGAATCACGCTTAACGTGACTAAGGTCACGCCGACAGAAGCACCACATGGAAACCCCTAAAGCTTCCACGCCCAATGAGAGTCACCTCACACTTGACGTGAGAAATCCTGAGAGCAATCTTTTCTCTTAGCCTTGATGACGCCCGACATGCCCTTCTTGCATCTTATCAAAAACTCTAATTCTGCAAAAAAAAAAAAAAAAAAAAACAAACAAACAAACAAACAAATTTTGAGCCAACAAATAAGAATTGCTCAATTTATAATTTAATCAGTAAAAGTGTTCAAATAGGCATATTAATCATTCTAAAAGGCACACATGACATGTACTAATCACATGCTCATTTAATCTCCTCATATACCATCACCCATTCATTCCCTTATGTTGTGTTTGGATAAGTCATTTCTAAAATTCAAGGAATTTCAATTACTAAGTATTTGAATTACTCTCAATTGAATTCCTTTCCTTTTTCAAATATTTTGTTTGGATAGAGCATTTTTCAATATCTTGTATTTCAATTATCTTGTTTGGATAGAGTATTTCAATTTCATTCTACTTAGCAAAATTTCATTTTTAAATATTTATTAAAAAAGTTAAAGTTTTAATAATAAATTTTATTAAAATATATTTAATAATTGATCATCTCTTATAAAATTGTGTAACACAAAACAAGCATTAATAATTCTTATTTGTGTCTTTATATCAAAAAATGAAGGAGTTCTTAATATACTCCATCTTTTTTTCAGTATTCCAAAAGACCTTTCTATTGCATTTCGTGCACTTGAATGACGAAGATTAAATAACTCCTTGAAATTTTGAGGGGTGTTTCCAATCCACTCATTTAGATGATATCTAGTCCCTCGATATGGTGCTAAGAATCCTGGACCATTAGTATATCCCGCATCCACAAGAAAGTACTTACCTACAATTTTTAAAAATAAAAATTACAACTTAGAACTAGATAAAATTAAATAAAATACTATGTACATGATATTACCAGCTGGAATTTCAAGTTTATTTTGACGACGTAAAGCATCTCGTAATACTCGAGAATCTCCTGCTGACCCTTCCCACCCAGGTAACACATAAATAAACCTTAAATCTGGACCACAGGCTGCTAACACATTTGTAGAGACATCACCCTTTCTATTACGATATTTAGGTCTATCTTCAAGAGAAACTGTTACCGGAATATGTGTCCCATCAAGTGCTCCAACACATTTCTACAAACAACACAAGTGTATTTATATATTTAGTTTTTCAAAAAGGTTTATTGTAAGTTTGACTAGCCTTACAATTGATAAACTTACCTCAAACCATCTCCATTTATTTTCACCCGGACCTTCTAGATAGGTATGAAACTTCAAATAATCCTGACTCACTTTCATTATAGCTCTTAAGACATTATTAAATTGTCGGCTTATTGTTTCTTTAGATCTACAGTAACTATAGTGCACTACTCTGTACTTCATGTTGTGAGCAAGGATATGTAAAAACATTGCTACTGCTTCAGTTATTGGAACATTTCTTGTTCTTACTAACCCCCCTCTTTCTTGCAAAATTCTACAAAGCTTGAAAAATGCACTCTTACTGAGCCTTAACTGTTCAATGCAATCTTTTCCTACCCTTCTATAAAGACGATTAAGGAAACTACGCCGCTCCAATTCCCAAGAGTGTGACCCACAACCTGAAAAGGGCCAAAACGAGAAGAGGGAGGGCCGGTGAGTCCAACGGAGTGAACCGCGTCGTAAACGGAGGCTGGGAGGGCGGCGCGTGAAGCCCACGCGCCGGCGAGCTTCCTTAGTCAGTTTTATCTAAATTCCTAAACTTTAGGGATTGATTATATTTTATGCCTATTTATTTTATTGTACCCATTCAGATTCAATAATAAGAAATTATTCATATTCAAGTTGATATCAGAGCCTTTTGGGGAGTTTTTAACATCAGGGAGCACTCCACACAATGGGTAGTGAGTAAGTCACACAAGTGAGCTTGACACCACAACATATCCTAAAACCTTAAGGCATTAGGTAGATGGGTCTTTCTCACTTATATGTTAGTCAACATGTCCAACTCTAACCAATGTGGGACTTCACTTCACACTTGAACTCCAACACTCCCCCTCAAGTGTGAATCCCTTCCACATGGTCACGCTCCCCCTCAAGCGGAAGCTTTTCTTTCATACATGAGTATTCAATGGTGGCCTTACTTGCACTACCGTTGCACTTCAACGACACATGTCCTCCACACCTCTAGGGAGACTTTCAGTACAAGGATGATCCTACTCTTGGATCTCCTGCCAATTCCATTCAAGATACCACTCTTGGATCCAGCCAATACTCGTCTGAGCCGATCACCAGTCATTTGGTCGAACCATCGGCTCTGATATCACTTTTGGGGAGTTTTTAACATCAGGGAGCACTCCACACAATGGGTAGTGAGTAAGTCACACAAGTGAGCTTGACACCACAACATATCCTAAAACCTTAAGACATTAGGTAGATGGGTCTTTCTCAGTTATATGTTACTCAACATGTCCAACTCTAACCAATGTGGGACTTCACTTCACACTTGAACTCCAACATCTTTTTTGGGTAACAATATCCTTTTTACTATTTATTTATTTGTGTTTTCTGAAAATGGAGGTCATGGAATACATCATATGTTTCTAGATGGAGTAGGACACCATTTTTGCAAATATTTTCATATGTTGACAGATAAATGAAATTCTTTTGTAGCGTCTGGATGCATCTTAATATGGTGGACTTTGGACATAATTTTTGTGCCCTGCAGAATTTTTTTCTTATTGGAGATCTCACATCAATTAGTAGAATGACAAAAATAGTGTATATAAGTGAGAAACAATCCTCACTTTACAAGTTGGTATTATAGGATTAAGTTAAGTTCAAATCTACTTTTTTAAGATGATATCATAATTTATCCTAAAGATTATTGATTATTGTTAGACTTATCAGGCCACCCACTATCGGGTCATTATCAAACAACTGGAGATGTCTAATCTTGCAAACTTCACGTTTGAGATGTCCAATCCTTGGCATGTGGGGTGTGTGTTGGAGATCCAATGTTGACTAGTGGTATGGCCAAAATAGTGCATTTAAGTAGGGGAACAATCCTCACCTTACAAGTTAGCATTGTAGTGTTGAGTAAAGCTTAAATCCACTTTCATAATATTTTTCTTTGCCAGTGTTATAGTTTCTGGATGCATATTAATATGGGTGGACGGTGGACATAATTGTTGTTCCATGCAGAACCTTTTTCTTTTTGCTAGTGTTATAGTGTATCTAGCTTTAAGTGTTCTTCACCAGGATAACAATAACTACTACAATTTCTGAAGGTTAATACCTGAAGTATTCTACCAAGTTGATAACTATTGCAGGGATTTTGAAAACTAAGCCAAGATTTTCATTGCCATCAGTTTCACATAAATTTGGGAGCATTGGTCCTTCAATCTCCAAGATTGAGAGCTTGCCTGAAATTATCAAAGCTGTTGATTCTAGGACTTGTGCGAATGTAAATGGAAATTATCTTGATGATGATGATCAAATTGAAATTAATTCAGACATTGAGCTTGCTGAAACAGAAGCTGTTCCATATGGATTTAATCTGGCCACAATGGATGATCTTTTTGACAACCTCCAAGATAAGGCTGATCAGGTTGGTAGTAATTTAGAAATGCTTCCCATACTCTTTGACCTATCTATTTATTTCTTTACTGTATGAGATCTTTCTTGCTTCCACATTCCAATATTTTCCACATGATTGTCAAAAAAGTGGAAATATGATGTAGCTTTTTCAGAAACGTAGTAGATCCCCCTTGCTGAAGACAGTCATTGACAGTGAAGATTCCCCTGAGCCTGTGGATAGTGGGTCATCTAGCGACAATGAGGTATATAACTATATATAATATATGCACTATGATTGCTCATGTGGTTTTTAGTTTATTTTCATGATTTTCTCAACATCTACTTATTTCAGGTAAATGATCAACAAATGAAAATTTTACCTGGAAAGAAAATGCAAACCATGGCAGAACGATTTGAAGAAGCTTTAGGGACATCCTCTGTTATCACTGAAGGGCCTCATGTTGGAGCACTTAATTCCTTGAGGTATAAAATAGTAGTAGATTCCTGGTATTTTTATGCGATTAAAAAATGAATTTGAATTAATTCTGATTTCAGTGCCTGATTTATCTTGCAAATTCTGCAGAGCTACAATATCTGGAAAACTACAGCAGATGATGCTGAAAGAAAAAGAATCAGACATGGAGTTCTGGAGAAAGTTACAAGCTGGAGCCAAGCCAGATAGTAAATCTTTTGCGAATATTCTTCAATTTATCTTCAAACTGCATCTCCAATCTCTGCTCCATTCTCTGCATAACCTCTGGACTGTAAGAGTCAATAGTGCTCCTTGATGATCGGGCACCAAAGAAATCTCGGTGGCGAGTGTGAGAACCAAGATTGCGAGAGGGGTTTGCGACTTGCGTGTGCAGCGGATACGAAAGGTGGCATTTCAATATCTCTACTTTTTGGTGGAATTTTAAATTCCACAATTTTAGTGAATTAGAATACTCTGCACAAATGACACAATTTTAAATTCTTTTAAAATTTCTTATCCAAACAACATATTTAATATTAAGGTTTTTTAATTTCTTTAAAAAAATGAATTACCTCACTAAAATGACTTATCCAAACAGACTGTTAGGGTTCTCACAGGAACCCACGAGCAATCTAAGATACACAATTTCATACCAAATCACAAAATTAATGGTATAAACAACTATACAATATCAATTAGAACATCAAAAAGTAACAAAGAATATAAGGACATGTAATTATGAATCCCTAGCATACAACGCATAGAATAGAAAAGGGATTGGCTAATACCACTACCCAGCATACATCCCATATCCAAAGCGAGGCTACTCTCTCTCCTTCTTACCTTGATAAGCACTAGAAGATGGATGTGGATCTCTGGCATGTTCTCTTACAAGCTCTAGTTCTCCCAAGTCTAAATTGCATAAGCGTAGAGGAAAACGAAAGAGCGTAAAATGAGAACATATAAGATAACTCCCTTATTAAAAAAAAAAAAAAGTAACCCAATTCTAACCTAACAATTAAAACGTTTAACCCTAGTTACAAATTCCTTCTCTCATAAAATAATAAAGAAATAATTCAATCATTTAATAATAATATATCCATATAAGTATAGAAATAATTAAAACAATTATTTAAACTAACCCAAATATTTATAACAAGATATAATAATTAATAATTAATAAAAATATAATTTTAACAGAAAATTGGGGTGTTACATCTTTCACTGCACAAACCCTTTTGCTGAAGAGAAATGATACAAACATGTGAAATTACCAAGAGTCCAAGACTCTCTTTTAGATGATAAGCAGAAGTTGAAGGGAAGTAAGTTGTTAAAGGAGAGATTTTTTCTTTTACATTATATGTGAAGCTACCTAAAACTCTGACTTTTTTATTTTGAATTAGTAGTTAGATTTTTGTGCTTAAAACAAACTTTGAAATATACAGTTTGAGAATGGAAATATCATATGAACTATGTTTATAAAACCTATGAAGATGAAGAGAAAGAGACATGAAGCAAAAAGGCATGTTTTTTCTTTTTCTCTTTCCACTTTTCAAAATGTATTTAATTAAAGTCTGCAATATATGTTTATTTAAGTTTGCAACTTGTCACCATTATTTCATCTCATTTAACCAAGCTTGTGACAACGATGTTGAAATGGATTATCTGAGATACAATTAAACTACCTTACATAATGTGGTTTTCATTAACCAAACATGTACATGGATAATATTCAAATAAAGCAATCAAGTAATATTCAAGAAAAGGTAAGAATATATAGCATACACAATATTTATACTAGTTCAATCATAACCACCATGATTTACATCTAGTCTCCCAATCAACCCAATTAAGAATTTCACTAAATCTTTAAATTTTTTGAAAGTTTTACAATCACAATCACATGCAACCTACTACTAGAAAGTTAAAGAACCCCACTTCTTGAACCCCAAGAAGTGCCATTGTAGAAACTTCACTACAAGTAACCTTATGCACTTGAGAAACCTACTAAAAATTAGAAAAAAGATAAAGGAAGGGTATCACCTGATTTAAAGTATCAAATAAGATAAGTGAAAAGTTAAATCATAGGTTCTACAATTCTTATGATTGATGATGATGACTTGTGCTTTCTTAATTCATGATAGAAGACTCTTCAATTGATAAAACTCAATTTCTCATGATTTTTTCTCAATAATTCACAACTAAATATCAAACTTGGGTGTTTTAAAGTGAAAAATATGAGTCACACTTGAGTTTTGAAATGAATTTCGTTATATAGAACTTTCTACCTAAAATCGATTATTTTGCCGGATAATCGATTATTCCAACAACTTCTTCCAAGCCACTTAGAAATAGAAAAAATGATTTGATATTTTAAGGATAATCAATTATTTTGAGTATAAACTCATTTTTGAATTTTTCATTCAAATAATTTTAAATCGATTTTAAACCTTATACATGATCATCACCAACCAATAAGAAGATTATAATAACACTAAGCACAAAGAAAAACAAAAATTACTATTTGCATTCTTTCAAAAAAGACATATTCTAAACAACATTATATACATTTGTAATTATCAAAATCTTAAGCTTTCAACTTGATCTTGATCAACATTTTCATCTTCAGAGCAACCAAAATTGAATCAAATCCAAGCAAGCCAAAACAAACAAATAAAGAAATGGAATAATTATAAATCAAAATAAACATATAGGCACAAAAATAGCAAGAAAAATGTACCCAAAATAACACCATTAGTGAAAAACATGTTGTGGAAGGGCTCCAAATCACACCAAAAAGCCTTGTCAGTGCCTAAGGAGAGAAGAGCAAGGGTTGCCAAGGCCGAAATAGACTCACAATGGAGAAGGGGTGATTTACAAGGGAGGACAAGCAAAGGTTTGAGTGATGACAAGGGAAGATGAACGGTTTGCATGAAAAAGCATAACAAAGAAAAAAAGATATGAGGTTATAACAAGGATTCTACATCAAGTATTACTTACCTAGATAATGTGACATTCTACATCGATTAAACCAACAACCGATATAGAATGTAACATTCTACATCGAATAAGCAACACTTGATATAGAAAAGTTGACAATACTTGCAAAATTGTCACCATGTCATATATTACATCGGTTATGTGACATCTTGACATCGTCAACTATTTTTGCACCAGTGCATATTTGATTGAACACGCATAATTATTCAAGAATATTAAACTATCATTTATTCTTTAAATTTTTACTCAAGTTCAATTTAGGGTTTATTTGGGTAAATTTCTTCAAAAACATTTCTAGGAGAAAAAATAGGAATAAAGATTGAAATAAGCTTCTCCATAAGCTAAAACTAACTTATGGATGAGTTAAAAATAAAATTTTGGAAAATCTAATAGGAGAAAGCTTTTATGAATTAGTTCGTTCATGCATAAGCTAATTTTCGCTTTTGGAGAATCCCTTTATTTGTACATCATTCTCTTGAGGGTAGCATAAACACGTGTATCTTATTATGCTTACACTAAATGATGGTCTATGCATGGAAGAATTTCATATTTCTAATTCCTAAACGAATCCACTTCTCCCTTGATTTTTGGAACCAAAAGTTTTCCTCCTGAAATAACATGTTCTCATGTTTTTTTCATGAGTTTTTTTCTAAGGAGAATAAGGAAAACTGAGTCGATTCTCTCAAGAAGGTGTTGATTACTCTTTAGTTGAGCCCTCAATTCTCTTTTCCTCTTGAAAATACTCTGAAAAAACATATCTATTAAAAACAGCATAGTCTAGAGAGACATTTTGCAAAGCCTTCACAATATCACCCTCTATTAAAATACTTAGGAGTGTGCAAAAAATCCAAATTGATCCAAACTGATCCATAACCTATCCGTATTGAAAAATCTTATCCATTTTGAAAAAAAATACAAACCGATCCATTTTATAAAACCAGTTCAGTTATTCAATCCATTTTTAAAAAGTGGATCAGTTCGGTTTGGTTTTTTAAAAAAACTGATCCATATATAAGTAAAAAATGGATAACTAAACCGCATCAAACCGATTCAATTTCAAAAAAACCAATCCATATTTTAAAAAAACCAAATTGATCCACTTTATAAAAAATGGATCAGTTAACCGATCCACTTTTATAAAACGGTTCGCTTCAATTTGATTTGGATTTTTCAAAAAATTGATCCATGAACACCCCTAAAAATACTCACTAACATTCAAGGAGCATTTAAATTCCCCCGTAGGCTCTCCATATACCTCTATAAATTATTATGTAGATCAAACTTTGGGCTTGTATACACTACCAAGCCATACCAGACATACGGTCCACAAGCTAACTTCAAAATAATACACTATACCATAGAAGCCTCACACATCACTTGTGAATTCACACTTATATACATAAGAATCCAGATGTCTATGGAGTGGCCCTTAGCCCTTTCTAATGCCACCAATCTATACCCATGTCTATCCCAAAAACTTCTATTTTTTATGAAAAACATGTGTGTCTCAAAAAGGAAGATCGTGGTCAAGTGCTGTCTAACAATGATCTCTTTCATATGGCAATGATTTTGCTTGCTAGCAAAGCCTTTTAAATTCCAAGAAACTATGGAAAACTTTTACAAGCCAATCATTATAAACTATATGAAAGGGGAAGGTGGGTCATGTCATGGTAGTTATATTTCTTCCAAGACTTCCTTAATCATATTCAGAAGTACCTTGATGGCATGTTAGAGCTTGAACCCTTACCTAGAAGTACCTTGATGTCTTGTGAGATAAACATGTCTAGTGGTTTAACAAGTTCAACAAATGTAATCCTATTCAGAGCAATTGTCATTGTTATAGATATCCCAAGTGTTGATGTGATGGTATCTTTACCAACCATGGTATCATGTTTAGGGATGGTCCTATCAACCATGTATATTTTTTCTTTTTCTTTATCTTGTATCTTCTATTTTTTTTCTCTCCTAAAATTGCTTCTAGAGAAGTTTACCCAAACACACCCTTAGTATATAATTCAACCATTTTGACACTTATGTTTTTAAACAATTCAAATTGGTTTTGTTTTTTGTTTTTTACATTATGTGTTGCTTTTACCATTATGTTATTAATGTGAAGTATTTATTAACTTTATTGATAATTAGTATTCATTAAGAAACCCAATTGGCCACCACTAGTGCAAAAATAATGTTTTACGATGGGATTTTATGTCAAGTGTAATCCACTTAACAAAGAAAGTAACGTGGAAACAAACTTGTAAATATGATCCCACTTTCTATGTTGGGTGTTGATTCAAACATCAGAAATCTCTTTTTATG